ATCAGCAGTTGAAAGTGATGTGTTCTAATCAGTTACAGTTGATATATACTTCACATTGACATCAATCAGTGACTTCTTTAAAAGTGATCTCAGGGATTCAGAAGCCTGTTCAGACAGTGAAGATTCTTACTTATGTGTAGACATTTGAGTTCACTCAATTCATAGCATCTGCATCATTGTTATTTCTCAGTGTAAGTGTATGAGTTGCTGAGATGTAATGTCTTCTGTCACTGTTCTGTATACTCTTGTGCTTGATAAGACAGTTATTCATTGTCTGAAGCTGTGTGCAGAAGTTTTCATAAGTCTGGTCTTTGTCTATACTTACAAGAATCTGTAAGAGTTTAAAAGTTAATGTCTTCTTGAGCATGCTAATCTTTATTTGATTCTCTCAAGATTGATTATCTGCTTCTAGAATCTTGATGTTGAAGTCAGGAATAAATGTTGTAAGAGAAGTGTTTCTCTGTCAGATACTTTGTAATTCATCTAATACTTTCTATTGCATAACAGTGTCTGAGAATAGAACATCAAGATATTTCATGATATTATCAGATATTCATAACACTGATTCACATGCTTTTATTTATGAATGAAACTTCTGTTTCATACAATCTTTCAATCATTCATTGATATATTAATCTTGATTGATTAATGAACTGATGGCATTTTCATCTATACTTAGTTTCATGAGCATTTTCATTCTTCATGATGAGTAGAGAGTGAGATCAGAAGTATTGAAATATACAGAAGCATCTAAGTATTCTTTCAGCACTTTTGTATTTAATTCTGTAGATGTTGAAATTGTGTAAGTTAATTATTAAATCTCTTTGTATTGATGTTATTGAGTTGCATGCATATCAGCTATTTATTATTATTGTAGTTTCAACATTACTCAGAGCCACTATGACACTGCATTTATACTCATGTTCAAGAGTTCTTTCATATTATTGTTAGACATGATTATATCATTTATTAGATGTGAGATATCTGTGAAATCTGAAGAAGTATAATTATATGAATATCTTATACATCTGAGTGTCAGAACTCTCAGATCTTTCACTAATGTTCTCTTTGTAAGATCTTATTGCAGAGTTAGAGTGACTAATGAGTAAGCTTCTATTCAGAGACTCAGTGTCTGCTTAACTGTTTAACTGTTTCTCTATTTCTTATGTGTTGTTACATGTTCAGATATCTCTTGATAAATAATCATTTCTAATGAGGAGACAATGCATGAATAATTATTTTCTAATAAGAAGATGATGAATATTTTTCTAATGTAAGAGGCCTACACTGAATAGATTGATATGATATTGATAGGTCTTATATAACAAAGAGAAAAACATTAAAGAAGAAAAAGAAAGAGAAAGTGTAGAAATTAGTGATCAGAGTGAATATTTATACACATATGTAATGATGTATACAGTGAAGCTTCAGGGTGGAAGAATCTATATGTGTTCATGGCGGCCGAGGATCGGTGATTGAGAATGGCCGAGAATCAGAGTGTACATGTTTGATAGTGAAACAGAAGAATCTATGGAGTGAAGCAGAAGAATCTATGAAGTGTAATGAAATAGTCTATATAATTGATCGGGCGCAGCCCGCCACAATTCTCATTATACAGAAACAAGTGAGTCAATTACAACAGAAAATACTGCAATCAAGTATACTTTAACAGAGAACAGATAATCAGACTTCTATAACACAGATCACACACTCAGATGCAATAGATTTAGATCTGAATATTATTGCTAAAGCACTGAATTCTCTGAAAAAGAGATTCTCTGAGTGAAAATTTTGATATCATGAGCATCAAGCTTGTTTTAACTGCAGACATTCAAATCATGATGCAAAGAATTACACACAGTATACACAGTCAAGAAAAGTAAGAGAGTTAAAAAATTAGCAGAATCAGTGAGCTCAGAGACACTCACTGATATTCTATGAAAAGTCTTCAAAGTAAAAGAGATGTTTACATTAGATGATTCTCTGAATTCTGTGAATATTAAGAGAAAGCAGGCTTCTGACTGAGACACAGGCAAGGATGAAGCAGATGCTTATCTCAATGCCTTGAGACCTGAAATGTTAATGTATAGAGAGCACTTGAGTAAGAATTGAGAGATAGCTGCAAAAGTATTGATGAATACAGAAGCTTCTATATAATATATTAATGATTATATAACCTGAAGACTGAAAGAGGTTCACTGAGTGAAGAATTCTCAATACATAAGATTGTGTGATAATTAATATTTAATATTATCTGCAAGAGTAAGAGTTCTCTTGCATTTCAGATAATGATCTTGCTATATTTAAGTGTGAGAGCTGCAGAACATAGAATACAATCTTATTCTCAGACTCAATTGATTTCAAAGATTCAATTCACAGATTCATTAACATACATGTTATATACAGTTAACTGATAGAAAGAAAACAGTTCATACAATTCTATTAACTGATATGAGAAGGACATTTCACATCTCTGATATAGAAGGATTAAATCTGCTTACACATCAATAAGCAAAGAGAATAATTTACAAGATCTTATCTGAAAGTGTTCTGTCTGTCATATAAGATCTGAAAGCAGAGGAAACCAGAATAAAAGATATGTGAGAGAATAAGTGTATGAAGGAACTTCCGAAGAAGCATGAGAAGATCTTTTAGATAGATCTTTTACCAGAATTGTTACTGAAACAAGGATTTGTACATGAGATTAACACAGAGAATGTGAAATCAGTCAATGAAAATACATATCTTCTGTCACAAACATATTTCAAAGAACAGAAGTGTCAGATCACAGAGCTTTTAGAACATGGTCTTATACAACTCTCATCAAGTGTGTGAGACTTTCCAGTTCTATTCATGAAAAAGACAGATGAGAAGTAATGAAAATGTATCAATTATTGAGTACTTAATAAGCTTATAATCAAGAATAAACATTCACTGTCATAGATTCAACAACAGTTGAATACAGTTGAAAACATCTGATATCTATCAAAGATAAATCTTCCCTCAGAATACTGACAGATCTGTGTAGATGAACTGTCAGTATTATGAACTATATTTAATATACAATGAGAAAAGTTTGAATTCATAATAATATTATTCAGTCTGACAAATACATCTATTATCTTTCAAATGATGATGAATATGATTTCTTATAAACAGAATGAAACCTCATATCTTGTATATCTGAATAACATTCTAGTCTTCTCAAACTCATACAATGAATATCTGAAGTATCTTGATAAAGTATTTACAACTCTGACAGAGTATAAGCTCTAAGTCAAATTAATAAAGTATGTGTTTGAAATGAAAGAGTTGAAGTTCATAGAATATGTAGTGAGTGATGACTGTATACATCTCATTATGAAGAAATTGAATGTTATAGTGAATTAACTGTGACTGAGAAATGTATATTATGTATAACAGTTTCTTCAGTTGATCTCATATTACTGTATATTTATCAAAGATTTTGTATGAATAACTGTATCACTCTTAAATCTCTTAAGAGAAATAAAGACTAATCTGCAGAAGAAGAAGTTTTGATTAATCATCTGAAATATTATGTGTGAAGAGGCTTTTCTCATACTGAGAAAACATGTAACAACATTCTCAGTACTTATTTAATCAGATTATAATAAATCTTTCTACATTGAAACAGATACATCTGAATGAGCTATCAGAGACACTCTTCTACAGATGAGTAAGAATAACAAGCTGCACTCAGTGATGTATAATGATAGAAAACTATCAGGTACTGAACTCAATTACTCAGTGTATGAAAAGAAATTGCCAGTGATCAAGCATACACTGATGTTATAAGATAGATATATTGATAACAGTTATATAATAATGATGATCACAGATTATAAAAGCCTCATCTATCTACAATCAATGACAAAACCTTTCAAACACTTAGTATATTGAATCTCAGAGTTTCAAGTGTACAATCTTCATATTAAATACTGAAAGAGATTGAATACTGTAATATGACGCCACTGAAGCAGTGACTAGTTGACGGTGTCACATAGAAGTAGTTGTTTAAGAAGCTGTATAAGTGAGCTTGACTATCTTGCTTGAATAGTGAGCTCATAGGCTACAGAGTTATTGTGAGAATATCACAGATATAGTACTTAGTATACTAAGAAGATTGTATGAGACACATAGTAACTCTTGTATATATTTCAGTAGAAGAAAAAACAAATCACTGACTTCTTTGATAAGAAGTCAGTATCTAGCTATTCTATATAGATAATAAGTAAATACTCTTCTCTCATTTCATAAGTGAGAATAGCTGAAGTAATATCTCAGCAATGCCTCACTATCAAGAAAGAGTAATCTGCTAATCTTGTATAAAAGTGAGGTTCTCATATTCATTAATCAGATCTTTCTATGATATATCTGAATAATGTTATAAAGTGATTGAAAATCAGTTTAAACAGTCTGTGAGATGAATAAAATTATTCACATGAAAGTAATAAGCTGTGTGAAATCAGAGTGAGGTCTTGACACAGTCAGAGATATAATAATACTCTTCTCTTTAAGAGTATAGTTCTGATATTGTTAAGATTACTGAATTAGAAATTATCTTTGTTATATAGTAATAATTATCAATCAATTTAACAGCACATGTGCTGTATATAATATAAAGAAATAGATGAGTTCTTCTACTAACTGTGTAGATCTTTCTTTTTTCATCTTCATTTAAATTAAACACATGATAAGTGAGTTTCTTATATCTTGATTTAAAATATGAAAAATATAGTTAATAGTGACTTGCAGATCTCTCATCATATTTCATTCTATATATAAAATTTCCTGCAAAAGTGATGTATTTTAGAGATAAAACTAACAGTAGTGACAGGATTTTTTGAAAAGAACTCTCTTCTTTATGAAATATTTTTCTCTCTTCTTCTCTCATCTGTAATAGTGAGTGCATGAGAGCATCATTCTTAAGAGATAATAAGAGGCTTATTCTGATGTTTTCTAGTGAATAATAAACATCTTTATAATGCAGCTGCAGTCTTCATGATCATCAAGAAAGCCAGATTGAAAGTGAAGACAGCAGTGTCAATGAGCTGCAGAAGCACTGCTCTTATTATTATATTTTCTCTCTCTTCTGCATCTCTTACAGCTGCGGAGATAGTAGCTGTGTCTTGCAGTGAGATGTCATCTCTTCTGCTGACTAGTTTATCTGCATCTGGTCTATCCTCTGCTCTTCTCATCACTGTTGCGATGCCGCCCCCTCTCTCAATCAACATAGTGATGTATGACCTCATATGATCATTTGAAGAGAATCTCAGAGAGAGCTTGATTTCAGAAATAGTAACTCTGAGAAGCTCAATTCATAGTTTCTCTTCTGTGATATACCTGAGCCCTGCTCAGAATGCTGCTGAGTTAAGTCTGCAAAGTTCTGCAGTTTCTTTGTCTTCTCTCTGTGAGAAGGCTTCAGTACAGTCTCTGATCAGCACTGTCACTTATCTGCACTATACTAAATAGCTGAAGAAGAGAAGGATTTTATATACTTATCTCTTCTCTCACTTCTATTATTTCTGTTATATCTGTAACAATAACTTCTATCTCTCTGTAAGTATTACTTTACAGAAAGACATCATATTAGATCTGATAAGAAGCTCAGATACTCAAGTAGTACAGAACAAGAATTTCAAAGCTTTAAGTATTAACAGATTCTGTCAAGACTGAGAAGATCTCTCTTACTTATCTATAAAAGAAGATAAAAGTATAAGTCTCTGAGATAAAAAAACATCTCAGAATAACTAACTTTAAGAAGAAGTTAGTCAGCACTGTCATTGAAAGTACTGCAGAGATTAATTACTAGTTAAAGAGAATCTCACTTCAGTTGAAGCAGATGATTAAGATACTTTATAAGTTAATAAGTTAATACTTTTAGTATCTCTTATACTCTTTTATAGTATACTTCTCTGCAGTGCTGCAGTGCTAACTTCTTAGCAGATAAAGATACTAATACTGCAGACTTCAACAGTGAAGAATAAGTTTGATAAAGATATAATTATTAATAAGTAGACTCTGATCTCTCTTTTTACTTTTTCAGTGAGCTGCAGCTATATTAAGATAGTAGCAGTCTGTAGATTGATAATATTAATCTTTATTAATTTTAAATATCTCTTTCTTTTCTTATTTACTGCTTCAGGAATTTTATACTTATATAGTCTCATTAAACTTCTAAAAAATTCTTTAAGAGAAAATAGAAGAAGAGTGCTACAGAGTTTATAAGACACTGACTTATCACTGTGAGATCATCTCTAAAAAAAATCCTTTGAGAAAAAATGAGAAGTTTTAAGCAGTATTTCTTACTTAACATCTCTGATATATAATGAAGCAGTCTCTACTAGTCATCTCATAGCTTACAATCTCTTTCTCAGCATTTTTCAAATGCTCAAGCAGTTCTCATAAATTCTCTGATAATAAATAATCTTCTCATTTAATGAGATATTGAAGCTTACTATAATATGTTCACTTATTCAATATTTTCTTCATAAGATATTCAGTATTACTCTTAATCTTAATATTATTCAGCTGAGACAGCTTCACTCTGAGATATTACTTATAGAGCTTTAAATAGAAAATGTGAAAAACAGAATGAATTGATTTCAATTCTGTAAGTAATTTCAACTTATATATCTGCTTACTTATCACTCTTATTATTGAGAAAGATTCTAGTTATCACTCACTGAGCTTCTTACACAGTCTTATTATCTTAATATTCTTTGCTGAAAGTAGCACTTGATTCTCTATTAAGAACTTCATTAAAAGATGTTTTTAATTATAGTATATTATCTATTACTTCTGAGTGTGATGAATACTTTTCACTGTCTTCTCATGAATTTTATTCAAAAGTTTCAATCTCACTTTTACTTCTGATACTGAGAAGTACTCTGTTCTTTGTATCTATTCAATATTCTGACTGTCTATCTCTTTCTTTGAAATATTGTCTATGATGTTACTAAGTAATGAAGAATTATATTTATAATTAGTATAGAAAGAAGATATCTTTAAGATTATATTCTTTATATTATTATATATGAATTCAGCAGTTAAAAGATGTTTGAGCTAATCATTCTAATAATATAAATTGAATACTTGAAGATGCTGTTCTAGTGTCTGATTCTGATATTCAGTCTGATTATCTGTCTGCAGATGAAATACAGTACTGAGAAGACATCTTATTATAAAATAATAGTAAAAAGCTGATCAGTATTTACTAATAAAGAGAGATTCTTAATCTATTATCAATGATTTCAGAGCACTGTGATTATAAATAATAGTATTTAAAAATAGATCAGTTAATTCAGAGGCTTTAATCTTTTTATAAGTAGAGATATATTTAATTATCTTCATAAACTGATTAATAATAATTAAAATTGAGTTATATTCTTTAACTCTTATTGACTTCAGTAGATTAACTATGAAATTCATTAATAGATTCTGTCATGAGCTCTTTGAAACAGGCAGTAATCTCAACTTACTGTATTATTTATACTGCAGAATCTTTATTCTTTAACAGATATTATAAGTCTTAATATACTCTTTAACATCTGTTCAGAGCTTGTTCTAAATATATTTATATTTTAGAAGCTTCTCAGTCTTCTCTAATCTAAAGTGTTCTGTATAAGAATTATTATAATGAATTCTCAATAACTTCAGACACACTGCTTTACTATAAGAGATGAAGACTGAACTATTCAGCAGTAGAAGTTCACATTCTTCTAGTTATCAGTGACTTGATTTCTTAGCAGTAGTATCTCAATCAGAGTCTGTCTCTTTCAAGTTTAAATCAGATTCTTTTCTCTTTAACTTCTGAATTCAAGCTGTAGTAGAGATGTGCTTCTTCTATAACTTATCAATAAATTTCAAAAGTAGTTAAGTTAAAAGATTGTAGACTGTTTCATTCTTTATCAATTCAATGATTATAAAATATAATATAAGAAGCTCATGATTTTCAGTGTCAGTCTTTTACAGAGACTCAGGTTTTCTTTCATCTTCTATACTGAGTCATACAGCTGTCTTATCAGCATCATTTCTGAGCTTCATAGAATCTCAACTCTCTGCAGCCAGCTTCTTCTGTAGTAATAACAGAGATTCTTTTATAGAATTCTTCTTCACATTAATAATATTATAATCAGGTCATCTAGACAGTGTATCAGCAGAGTTAAGCTGATCTGAACAGTATCAGATATAGAAATTATACTTTAAAAGCAGCTCTACTCATCTGACTTGACATTCTATTATACTCTTTATTATTAAGAAGTAATACAGATTTACATAATCAGTGAGAACTTACACTGAGTACTTACTACTCTGAAGATAATATTATCAGATCTTAAAGAATTTGTAATGTAGTGAAACTGAAGCGGTGGCTAGTCAGCGGTGTTATGTAGAAGTAGTTGTTTGAGAAGCTGTATAAGTGAGCTTGACTATCTTACTTGAATAGCGAGCTCATAGGCTACAGGGTTATTGTGAGAATATCACAGATATGATACTTAGTATACTAAGAAGATTATATGAGACATGTAGTAACTCTTGTATATAGTTCAGTCAGAGAAAAAATAAATCACTGACTTCTTTAATAAGAAGCCAGCATCTAGCTATTCTATATAGAAAATAAGCAGATACTCTTCTCTCATTTCACAAGTAAGAATAGTCAGAGTGATATCTCAGTGATATCTTATTATCAAGAAAGAGTAATCTGCTAATCTTGTATAGAAGCAGAGTTCTTATATTCATTAATCAGATCTTTCTATGATATATCTGAATAATGTTATAGAGTGATTGAAAACTAGTTCAGACAGAATGAAATCATCTGTATAAAAGTGATGAGTTATGTGAAACTGTAACAGAGTCTTGACACAGCTGAGAGTGTGATAATACTCTTCTCTTTAAGAGTATAGTCTCTATACTCTTAAGATTACTGAATTAGAAATTATCTTTGTTGTATAGCAACAGTTGTCAACTGATTAACAGTATATATACTGTATATAATATCAAGAAATAGATGAGTTCTTCTGCTGACTGTGTAGATCTTCTCTTTCTCATCTTCATTCAAATCAAACATGTGATAAGTGAGTTCCTTATATATTGATTTAAAATGTGAAAAATATAGTTAATAAGTGACTTACAGATCTCTCATTATATTCCATTCTATATATAAAATTCTCTGTAAAAGTCATATGTTTTAGAGACAAAGCTAACAATAGTGATAGAATTTTTCAAAAAGATTCTTCTCTTCTCTGTAATACATTTTTCTTCTCTCTTCTCATCTGTAATAGTGAGTGCATGAGAGCATCATCCTTGAGAGATAATAAGAAGCTTATTCTGATATTTTCTAGTGAGTAAACATCTTCATGATGCAGCTGCGGCCTCTGTAGCTGTCAAGAAAGCCAGGTTGAAGGCAGAGACAGCAGTATCAATGAGCCGCGGGAGCATCACTCTCATTGTCACACCTCCTCCTGCTTCTCTTGTGATTGTGGTGGTAGTTGCTGTGCCTTGCAGTGAGGTGTCATCCCTTCTGCTGGCCAGTTTGTCTGTGTCTGGTCCTTCCTCTGCTCCTCTCACTGCTGTTGTGACACTGCCCCTCTTTCCAACCAACACAGTGATGTATGACCCTGTGTGATGATTCAGAGAGAACTCTGAGAAGAGCTTGATTGCAGAGATAGCAGCTCTGAAAAGCTCAATTCATAGTTTCTCTTTCATGGCATATCTGAGCCCTGCTAGACTAACCGTGTGACCGTGTCTGAGACCAGGACCAGATTTTTTGATAGTCTCATTACCAATTCGACTGATCCCATTACACGGTTTTAACATTAGATAGTAGTCTCATACTGTTCCAGTGAGACTTACTGTCTACTCTTGTCACATTTTCCAAATGGGACCATGATTTCCACTTCTCAATTTAAATTATTTTTATTGCTTTAAATGACTTTAAATCTCATTTGAGCATTATCAAAAAGTGTTACTTTTTTAAAAATTAAAAATAGTCTAAAAAAAACCTTAAAATGTCTAAAAATAGTAACTTTATGCCAAGAATGGGACTAAATGAGACCAAATGAGACCACTTTCTCATTTTTTTCAAGTCATGGTTTCATTTTAAGATCTGATATATAGTCACTTTACATGTTTTTTTAATAGCCAGTCCCAGCGGGATTCACGCCAAGAAATGTATGGGACCAGATCAAATAGGATCAAACATGAAATTCATGGTCCCGGCGGCCAGTCTAAGCCCTGCTCAGAATACTGCTGAGTTGAGTTCACAGAGTCCTGCAGTTTCTTTATCTTCTCTCTATAAGAAGGCTTCAGTGCAGTCTCTGACTGATATCACTACTTATCTACACTGTACTAAGCAGCTGAAGAAGAGAGGGATTTTATATATCTATTTCTTCTCTCACTCTTATTATTTCTGTTATACTTGTAATAATAACTTCTGTCTCTCTGTAAGTATTACTTTATAGAAAGACATTATATTAGCTCTGATAAGAAGTCTAGATACTCAAGCAGTACAGAGTGAGAATCTCAGAGCTCTAAGTATTAATAGATTCTATCAAGGCTGAGAAGGTCTCTCTTACTCATCTGTAAAAGAAGACAAAAGCATGAGTCTCTGAGATAAAAAAACATCTCAGAATAACTGATCTTAAGAAGAGATCAGTCAATGCTGCTATTAAAAGCATCACAGAGATTAATCACTGATTAAAGAGAATCTCACTTTAATTAAAGCAGATAACTGAGATGCTTTATAAATTGATAAGTTAATACTTCAAGTATCTCTCATACTTTTCTACAGTATACTTCTCTATAGTGTTACAGTACTAACTTCTTAACAGATAAAGATATCAGTGTCAGAGACTTCAACAGTAGTGAATGAGTTTGATAAGAGTATAATTATTAATAAGTAGACTCTGAGATTTCCTCTTTTTACTTTTTCAGTGAGCTGTAATCTTATTAGAATAGCAGCAGTTCACAGATCAATAATATTAATCTTTTTATTAATTTCAAATATTTCTTTTCTCTAACTACTTCAGGAATTTTATACTTATATAGTCTCATTAAACTTCTAAAAAACTCTTTGAGAGAAAATAGAAGAAGAGTGCTACAGAGCTTATAAGACATCAGCTCATTATTATAAGATTATCTCTAAAAAAACTTTTTAAGAAAAATAAGAAGTCTTAAGCAGCATTTCTTACTCAATATCTCTGATATGTAACAGAACAGTCTCTACTAGCTGTCTTATAGCTTACAATCTCTTTCTCAGCATTTTTCAAATGCTCAAGCAGTTCTCATGAATTCTCTGATAATGAGTAATTTTCTTATTTTATAAGATATTGAAGCTTGCTGTAATATATTTACTTATTCAATATTTTCTTCATAAGATATTCAGTATCACTCTCAATCTTGATATTATTCAGTCAAGATAACTCTGCTCTGAGATATTACTTATAAAGCTCTAAATAGAAAATGTGAAAAATAGAATGAATTGATTTCAATTCTATAAGTAATTTCAACTCATATATCTGCTTACTCATTACTCTTATTACTGAGAAAGATTCTAGTCATCACTCACTGAGCTTCTTATACAGTCTCATTATCTTGATATTCTTTACTGAAAGTAGTACTTAATTCTCTATCAAGAACTTCATTAAAAGATATTTTTAATTATAGTATTTTATCTACTACTTCTGAATACAGTAGATGCTTTTCATCACTTTCTTATAAATTTTATTTAAAAGTTTCAATCTTACTTTTACTTCTAATACTGAGAGATACTCTATTCTCTGTATCTATTCAATATTCTGACTGTCTATTACTCTCTTTAAAACATCATCTGTGATGTCACTGAGTAATGAAGAATTATATTTATAATAAGTATAGAAAGAAGATATCTTTAAGATTACATTCTTTACATTATTATATATAAATTCAGTGATCAGAAGATATTGAAATCAATCATTCTAATAATATAAATAGAATGCTTAAAGATACTGTTCTAGTATCTGATTCTGATATTCAGTCTGATTATCTGTCTGTGAATGAAATGCAGTACTGAGAAGACATCTTATTATAAGATAATAGTAAAAAGTCAATCAGTATTTACTAATAAAGAGAAATTCTCAATCTGTTATCAATAATTTCAGAGCACTGTGATTATAAATAATAGTATCTAAAAATAGGTCTGTCAATTCAGAGGCTTTAATCTTTTTATAAGTAGAAATATATCTGATCATCTTCATGAAGCAGTTAATAATAATTAAAATTAAGTTATATTTTTAACTCTTGTTAACTTCAGTAGATTAACTATGAAATTCATTGATAGATTCTGTTATGAGCTCTTTAAAACAGGCAGTGATACTAACTCACTGTATTACTTATACTGCAGAATCTTTATCTTTTGATAGATATTATAAGTCTTAATATACTCTTTAACATCTGCTCAGAGCTTGGCTTAAATATATTTATATTTCAGAAGCTTCTCAGTCTTCTCTAACCTGAAGTGCTCTGTATAAGAATTATTATAATGAATTCTTAATAACTTCTAATGCACTGTTCTACTATAAGAGACAAAGACTGAATTATTCAGTAGTAGAAGTTCACATTCTTCTAGTTATCAGTGACTTGATTTCTTAGTAACACTGTCTCACTCAGAATCTGTCTCTTTTAAGTTCAAATCAGATTCTTTCTTCTTCAACTTCTGAATTCAAGCTGCAGTAGAGATATTTCTCTTCTATAACTTATTAATAAATTTCAAAAGTAGTTGAGTTGAAAGATTGTAGATCATTTCATTCTTTATCAATTCAATAATAGTAAGATATAATATAAGAAGCTCATGATCTTCAGTGTTAATTCTCTGTGAGAATCTGAGTTTTCTTTCATCTTCTATACTGAGTCATGCAGCTGTCTTACTGATGCTGTTTCTAAGCTTCAGAGAATCTTAACTCTCTGCAGCCAGCTTCTTCTGCAGTGATGACAGAGATTCTTTTATAGAATTCTTCTCTGCATTAATAATATTATAATCAGACTGTCTAGACAGTGTGTTGATGAGATTAAGCTGACCTGAACAGTATCAGATATAGAAATCATACTCTGAAAGCAGCTCTACTCATCTGGCTTGACATTCTGTCAAGCTCTTTGTTGTTAAGAAGTAATGCAGATTTGTATGATCAGTGAGAACTTGCACTGAGTACTTACTACTCTGAAGATAATGTTATCAGATCTTAAAGAATTTGACAATTACTAACATCTTCTGATTATGAGTATTATATCTTCTCTGCATGAGTGATAACTTCTTGAAGAAGAAGATCACTAATCTTTATTCACAGTATTTTATAGACTTCATGAAAAAGTCTTCTCTCACAGACAATTCATTATCTGTTTCTTCAGAAATAATTATTCTCTGATTCTTTCAATGTTGAAAGGTCTTCAGTGTCAACTGTGAAAAGATTTCACAGACTTCATTCTCAGATGTATCAGTCTCACACTGACTGAGTAAGTCAGAATTAAAGTGATTCAGTATTATGATATCTGTAAAAGCTTATTTCAATTCTATAAATATCTACACAGTGTCTTAAGTGAGAATAAACAGTCTTATTTTTCTGTCTTTCACACTTCTCTTTAACAGATCTGTAAGAGAGATAGTAATTCATGAATATGTATAGATGAATTATCTGTAGAAATTCACAAATTCTAGAAATATCTGCATCTTGTGATATGTTCACAGCATCAGTCAGTTCTTAATAACAGAGACTCAGCTTCTGTTCATTGAAATGCTGTTCATCTCAATAATATAATCTAAGAAATCAATCTTCTGCATGTAGAATGAGCATTTTTCAGTGTTTGTAGAAAGTTGATACTGTCTCAAGTGACTCAACACTTCTCAAATATGAGTATCATATTCTTTCTCTGATTTTAAGAATATTATAATGTCATTCAGATATACTATGCAGAAGACATTGACAAGGTCTTACAGTATCTCATTTATATAGATCTGAAAGATAGCTGAAGTATTATAAAGATCAAAAGATAAAACAAGATATTCAAAATTGCTGTACATAATATGAAAAGCTGTTTTTCAAACATCATCTTTATTAACTCTGATTCTATGATAGATATCTTGTATATCAATCTTTGAGAACATCTTTGCTTCAGATAATTGATTGATCATCTCATCAATCAATGATAATAAATAGCAATTCTTAATCATCATCTTATTGAGACCTCTGTAGTTTATACATAAGTGTAGTCTATCATTCTTCTTGAGCATAAAGAGTATAGATGTCTCTGTCAGACTCTTTAATAAGTGTATTCAGTTCTTTAATTACACTTCTGCAAGATATTTGTGTAGAACATTCAATTTCTTTATAGATAAGTTATAAAGAGATCTGTACAGTGCTGTTACACTGTCTTCAAGACAAATCTTATATTGTATCTTAATGTCAGAAAACTTCACTGCTTCTCTTTCTGAAAAGACATTCTTATAATCTGTAAAGAGATGTTATATATATTCATCTTCAATGACAGATACTGCTGCTAATCTTACAGTGAGAGTGATGACTTCTTCATCTATCTTCAAGTCTCAATCATCTACTACACAGTATATCAACTCTATCTTTTTCTCAAGATTCTTTCAATGACACTCTTCAGATTTCTCTATCACTGTCTCTTTATTAGTGAGATAGTATTACTACATATGAGTAACTCAGTCAATAAGAGAATTGTTTTCTCTCAATTATAAAAGATCTAGAATGATATTCTCATCTATGATGTTAACTGTATGAAGAAGCAGACTGCTTTTCTTGAAGATTTCTTCTAAGTCTGTGATCACATACTTTACTTGAATTATGTTAAAATAGTGATATTTCATTTCATTAGTAAATTTTACATGATCTGA